GGGGTGCATGGTATATCTCCATCGGAACTTCAGAATAGAGTTAAACAATATATCCGAATCTCAATGGCTATCAGTCGCTGCAGCCGCTTCTACAATACTTCTTGGTCGCATTTACAACTCTGCGAAAGCGACATACAGGAATATTGCAATTATCTCCTTGGCGTTTGATTACGCATCCGTATTACTACATGGGTTAAGGATAATCACCCGCGATTTCAATCTACCGAATATTACTTGGTCACCACAAACATCCTCATCATTGCACAGATCTTTATTAGTGACCATCAGTGCTGAGGGTTAAACTCATTGTATCATCAAACCAACTAGATCTGCCAATGTACTGGATTTAATCTTCACCTTAGGGATCCCCGACGCATAAACCGACATCAAAACAACGTTCCCGGTAGTGACCACAAAATGCTACGCCTTACCTCCTGCTTGGGATTGAATGCCAAACTTGAAGCACCTAGCCAGCATACTATACAAAGAATTCACTGGGAGCATTTCGGAAAGCTCATCCGGTCCTCTAATTGGGATACCCTTTCTCTCTCTACTAGCGCACCAATTGCAGTGGAACAGTTCTACTACCAGATAAATAGCATTATAATTGTACTTGTTCCACATTATAAACGTGCCATTTTTGGCTCTAAGAATATAAGTGACAATCTGAGTGGCCTGAAAAAGAGAAAACTAGTTGAGAAATTCAGAAAAACCAGAGACTTCTCAGTAGTATTACAGCTACATGAATCCACCGCCTACATCAAGCGCTCACAAAAGAAACATGTTGAAAAGGAGGAGGAAGAGAACGCCTTTGCGAATGATATGTAAAGGAAAGGAACTGACCAGATTACTCCGTCATAGGACTAACGATAGAGGGTGTTCGAGTACTGAAGTTATTGATGAGGAAGGTCGCAACCTTAATGACCCACCTGCTATTTGTGAAGAGTTTAGCACTTTTTTCGCTGCTTCCATGAAGATAGAGACCGGTCATATACCTTCCTGCCCGGAACTTACAACAAGCGGCATAGGTAATGTTGAGTTTTCCCTTTTGACAACCCGACAGGCTATGAAGGCCATCAACCCATCGCTCAAACCAGATTCCCAAGGCATCCCCCCATCAGTTATTAAACTCGATGGATCTGATATACCACTTCTATTGCTGAAAATGTTCACCTTGTCGTTAGAATCTAGCTACTTTCCGGATCAGTGGAAAAATCGTTTATTGCGCCTCGTCATAAAGGGTAGGCCAAACAGCACGTCACTAATTATCAACCTATCCATCATACTCCCGTTATCGTTAGATTACGCGAAAAATTAAGTAAAAGTGGCATCATGGACCCTAACCATTATCATGGACTGAGTAACAAACCCCAGCATGCGTTCCTCGATAAACGTTCCTGTACAACGTGTCAGTTGCTCTATCTGGATTACATCACAGAAGTCATTGACTTTAAATATGCAGTTATAATACTGTTCCTGGATATGCAAAAAGCATTTGACAGAGTGCCGCATAAGCGGTTACTAAAAAGAATCGAGTGATGTGAATCAAAGACACGCCATTTGGTTTGTTGACATCATACCTAAATGGGCGTTACCAGATAGTTACTCTGGGTAGTCATAACTCCTCCGCACGTCCATACACTAGTGGTGTCATCCAAGGGAGTGTACTTGGTCCTTCGCTTTTCCTACTTTATATTAACGATATCACGGTGTTCATAAAACATGACGGGCCATTTTGTTTGCTGATGACATAAAGTTTGTTTATATACTTCGACGAGATGAACTTCATAGCGCCACGCTTCTTGTTCAAGAAGACCTCGTCGATTCACTTGAGAAATGGTGCAACATACGGACCTTAAATTTCTCAGTCATTAAGTCATGCATTACGTCACACGGATGTTTGAACCCCGACGAGTCAGTTAAATTGAACAATTAACGTATCTGTCTGAAATTATTCAACTGTGATCTAGACATACAATACTCTTCAAACTTTAATTTCTCAGAGCAAGTTGAGTAACAAATAGCAAGTGCCAAACGATCTGTGGCTAACATATGCCATAAAACCTCTACAACCCCTGCCATATTCGAGCTTTTCAAAATACGTACACTTCCTGTCTTTGAATACTGCAGCACCAGTTAAGAGAACATGCATATTGGTGACAGGAAACCTTTGGAAAACCTGCAACGATCATTCGCTAACCGCTTGTTCAGTAAATCAACCACCTTGAGTTATCAGGAGCGCTGCCAGCAGCTTAAGCTCGAGTCCCTCAGGTTGCGACGACTGAAACATAACCTGGTGCTGATACAATCTCAGAAACTAAAAGACATGCTCCAATCGGTATACACTAAAATTTCAAAATAACCGCTCAGAATATATGCAACAAGACACGTACATTAAGTGTGCCAAGAACCAGGACAGCGATCTGATCCAACTTTCTCCTCGTCAGATGCGCTGTCGTGTGGAATAGCCTACCAATCACAATCAGGTTTTGCACAAATGCAAGGACATTCCGCATCCAGCTTAGTAAATTACTGAATCAGAACTCGAGAATGACCATGTTTCCATCGGGTAAATCACCACACAACTTCTTCCAGGATGAACCAAGGAATATATAACCAATGAGAAAAGATGGTACACAAAACCCAGCAACAACAAAAGATATGTGATTTCAAATTATTTGGGTGTCTCACACCGCATAATACATATCTCACTCATGCATGAGCATGATCATTATTGTACTGATGATCTGTCCACAATCCAGGGACAGCTTCTCGTACAATCGAGAAATAGGCGTATTGCTATATGAGCAGCTAAGTCCAACCATCCATGATCACCAGGTATGGGTCGAAGAGGCGGTTTTCAAAGGTCGCCTATTCAAACGACCAATGACGACGACCTATAAAAGCGCACGCCCGTGACTATTCGGTTGGCACCCACCTACGCATCACTCTGATACGCTACACACTAACGCACTGATGACGTCACTTCGACTGGTGTCAAAGCGTTTGCAACAAAATGCCAAAGTTCAGAGAAAAGCCAGTTTAACAAAAGAACAACCTGAGCTACCTGAATTCACGTCTATAACAAAATCGAGCGTGTCATTAAGGTCAGTGCCACCCAAGCGGTAAGGTGGGCAACTGATGGACGTTCATAAGCGCAGTCAATAAGCAGTGTGTAATCGCACGATCTACAGCAGTGACGTAAATAACATAGGGATTACCAGCGTGCCATCCGTGCAATTAACACTGCGGGTTGAAGGCGAACAGTATAACAGAAGAAATCAGTGTGGTGAAGTAGGCGAGATGACAATGACGGGTAGGATATTGAGGTTCACACATCATCAAACACGGCCACAGCGATCCGAACGCCAGAGTTGCATTTCAAAGTAAAAGGTGGTCTGAATTGAGACCGAGTGTCACAATCCATATGTAGCGGGCGACCGCACACCAAAGATGAATGACTCCCACGAAGCCATTTCGACTTAGTGTAGTCTAAACTACGTGGTGAGATGCTTTGGTTTGCGACATCTGTTTCCTGAGTAAGCTAGTATTCTCACCCTAAGATTGTTCTAAGTAAACAGCAGCTGTTTGTACCGCAAAGCCGACATCTGAGGAGCGTGTCACGAAGGTTCCTTCTAGACACGATCATCCAGACTGAGAGTCTACAGGCAGCTATATTTTGAGCTCCGATAAATATCAAACCTGCATAATCTCTTCACTTGTTAACTTGCAGGATGGAAAACGTGAGAACTTATTCGGTACTACACACATGTTCGGGCGTAAGATCTGCATCGTAATCGAGTGGGTAAACCTACGGCTCCAACGATAATGCAGTTTATATGTACCTGCACATTCGTCTATGGACAGACAGATGAAAAGAGCTGTCTCGTACTACTTCGTCATCATCCGCAACAACAGCGTCTATACCTTGTCAAGAAGATGGTCACAAACAGCCGACTATCGGGCAAAGACAACGAGGCATCTGTGAGACAACCTCACCGCGGCTTTCACTGTCCAGAGTCATAATAGGACATAACCTTGAAGATGACCTTAAAAACACACAAAGTGCTATTGCAGCACTGGAACGACACATCGCCAAATCCTACAGCTGTCGGACAACCATTCGGACTGGATTGGCTTATTCATCTAAGTGTCGGATCAGCTACGGCAAGCAGCAGAAATGTTCTTGTGACTCAGAAGTGCTTCAAAATAAATGGTGGATTTTGGCTTTTTAAACAAGAGTAGCGCGTTTGGCGATGCATTGTGGCCAACGTTATCACATATAGCAGGTCAGAGACGTGATCAAATATTGAACACCTAGTCAGACTTCACAACCCTACTCACCAACGACTGGGGGGCATTGCTTGTGTATCGTGTGCACAACGGGTGAATATGTAGTTGCTCATTTGTTCGCCGAGTTGGGAAATTTGTTTGCAAACATTTCACCGCCATGCGAGGCGGCATCATAAGTGCATCGAGATGTGGAGTGTAATCTCGCCCATCAGTCGATCTATTCCAACAAACCTTCGGGTTCAGCACCAGTAAATTTTAACACGTCTAAGTTGATTGGGTCACGCCTTCCGAACGACCGCTGATCTCTCGCATCAGCGTTTGCTGCATCCGCACACAGCGCCCTATAAGTTGAGGCGACGCTGGTCACATTGGCACGCACATACCGGTATGTAGTGGAAAGAATTGAGCGCATCCCGATCATAAAAACCAAAATTCATTGAGGCGCGGAAAAAGTTACGAGTTGTTGAAACGAACAGGAAGTATTATGGGAAGTGAAATATCCGAGTTAGTTGGTCTAAACCGAGCGATGGAACGATCCCTTGGAAATGTAGCATTACGCTTTCGTGTGAACTACAGATACATGGCGTACCATACACTGGTCTATCGACTAGGAAAAGCAATGATACCTCCTGTCTGAAAAGGATGAAGTTAACGACGTACGCTGCCGGCCTTAACATGGAAGAGAGCACATAAACACGATGACTCACATGTGCTATCAGTGAAATCAGTAGCTTTGTCAAGAGATAGGAGGGGAGAAAGATCACTGGATGATCGATCAGGTTGAGCATCAGGAGGCTTTGGAAGGAGGTCCAACTGTTAAAAAAAGAAAATAACAATGACCTGACTTTATAAAAATATATATATATATATAGGATAGCGTACAAAAGGTTGTACCATTTGTTTTGTTCATTACACATGTAATATTGTAGATGTAATGTTGAAAACTCATATTCCTTAACTCTGATTCACTGAAAATCCCGTGGATGTCACGAGAAGTTAGTATGGAGTATTTTCTTGGCGCCAAACAAAATTTTCAAGAAAGCGAATAAGGGTGTTGAACAGAAGGTGAAAGTTGTAATGTTTTTTTACAGAAAGGAGGAGTTTTGTAGCAACACAAAACGTTTTCGTGCACATTTCGTAAAAAAGGGGCTCCACGTAAATAGCTTATTCAGCGATTGTATCCTCAGGTTGGAACAACTCGCTCTGTGGTAGAGAAGAATCGACGGCGCAGACCAAGTGTCCGCACCCCCAGAAAACTTAGAAGCAGTTCGCGTTGCTCTGACAAGAAGTTCTAGCAAATCAATAAGGAGAACGACTGCTGTATTAGGAATACGTCGTTAGTCCATACAAAGGATTCCACATCCTGATCAACAAATGTTCCCTTAAATGATAACATTGTCCATAAATTAACAGCATAGGATAAGCAACGAAGACATCAGTTCGCTTCATGGTTAGTGTAAAAGGAGCACGTTCTGTACAACATGTGGTTTATTGCCGAGGCGTGTTTTCATTCAAATGATGTAGTGAATAAGCAAAACGTTCGTTTCTGGGCAAGTGAACATCATCAAATTCTGCACAAAAGGGGAAATTACGGAGAACAAGTCTGTGTATGGGCAGCAATCCCATCCCATGGAATCATCAGACACTTTTTCTTTGATGAGACGGTAAACATATATATAAGGATATGTTGGCGAACTGATTTATTCCAGAACTCTTGGCAACAGGTCTCCCATTACGAAAATGGTTCAGGTAAGACGAAACCCACCCACACACAGCAAAAGTTGTTCTTGATTACCTGTTTGACATGTTTGATAGGCGGATTCTCGTGTGTCACCAAGGTGAAAGACAGTGGCAGCCGCATAACTCTGACTTCAATTCATGTGATTTCTTCTTGAAAGATAATGTCTCCGGAAGGAATCCTGCAAGTGCAGCTCAACTCAGTGCTCTTATCATGTAGTGGTGCCGTCTACTTTTTGAAGACATTGTAGGAAGATTGTGACAAATCTGAAGGTTCGCTTGCAAGCAGTCGTGAAACAAAGCTGTGATCACAATGGACACATACTACATTGAACTAAATATTCATGTTCACGCAATTGATTCTGCACTAAGTTAGTAATATTCTAAGGATAAAAACAAGTAAAATAAACAAAAAAATGGCATGACATTTCGTGCGCCAGCCTATATATATATATATATATGGAGGGACAGCCAATGGTGCGCTGAGGATGGTGGTGGCTAGATCCTGACAGATAATCTACCCGCTGCTGCTACTGTTGCGCCATCGTCTCATGTCCTGGGAGCCTCCACGTGGCGACCGCTGCGTGGCAGTTGGGTTGCGCTCCTCTCCATGCTAAGATCCAAGACACCAATCCGCATGAATCAGTGAACTGACAATGTGTTAGACACGCTGCCTTTCAAGTGTTCATTTAATCGAAGGCTTTGGCTGAGGACCCGAGTCGTTCTCCTGTCAGGTGTGGGCGCCCTGGTAGTATACTAGTCCATCCTCTCCGGAGGTTAGGAAGTGGTCGATGGCCCACTTCCCGTAAAACCTAGCCATGGGAGACAACAGGTTACGGGTGATATTCTCAATGCTCGATTGGCGTAGAGCACGAGTGCCACGCATTGTCTCTGACGGTGGGAGGACACCTACGGGTGTTCAATGGTTTGCTACTGCCCGCCTCAAGCCAGGCAGACCCTGGTCAAATTGGTGCCAACCCGCCAAAAACCCACCTGAGTCTGGCCGTGGTCGCAGGTGCGTATCCTACTACGGTCGCAAAACATATAATAACTGTTTCAGTACCTCAAAGGCTGCGTGTGACGGCCGTCAAGCCGATCCCAATCTGTCTCTGCAATCACATTCCCGAGCTGGATCTGCTCCCCACTGCCTTGTGGGTCAGGCTATTGAGCCAAAGGCTCCGGGCGGAGTCAATCAAGCAAACCTCCAAACCACCCACTGCTTTGTGGGTCAGGCTATTGAGCCAAAGGCTCCGGGCGGAGTCAATCAAGCAAACCTCCAAACCACCCACTGCTTTGTGGGTCAGGCTATTGAGCCAAAGGCTCCGGGTGGAGTCCCTCAAGCAAACCTGAAAAATCACCCACTACCTTGTGGGTCAGGCTATTGAGCCAAAGGCTCCGGGTGGAGTCCCTCAAGCAAACCTCCGAAGCACAACGACCACCTCACGTGCGATTGCCCACCAATGCAATCGCATGCCTGCGCGCAAAGCACTCAGCATCGGGTGCTGGAACGTGCGCACACTACTGGACCGGAACTCCAGTGAGCGCCCGGAGCGACGCACTGCAATGGTCGCGATGGAGCTGGCGCGCTACCACATCGATATTGCGGCGCTCAGTGAAACTCGGCTCGCTGAGCAAGTTGCATGAAGCTGGTGCTGGCTACACATTCTATTGGGTAGGAAACGCCGCCTCAGCTCCACGTGAACATGGGGTCGGATTTGCAATATCCGATCGACTCCATGGCCAGCTGGTGGGTGAACCAACGGGCATCAGCGCGCGACTGATGACTGTTCGCCTACGACTCGGAAGAGGTAAGTTTGCTACTTTTATAATCCCGTACGGTCCGACCATGTGTTATCCTGATGACACGCGTGATCGTTTCTACATTCAGCTATCCTCCGTGACACGGTCTGTGCCGAGGAGCGACCGACTATTTCTGCTGGGTGATTTCAACGCGCGCGTTCGGCGTGATGCATCAGCGTGGACAGATGTTATCGGTTCGCATGGCATTGGCTCAGCGAATGCGAACGGTGACAGGCTGCTCTCACTGTGTGCCACTCACGGCCTGACGATCACGAACACTCGGTTTGCACTGAGTGCGAGTGATATAGCAACTTGGACGTACCAACGGAGTGGTCACGCTCACCTACTCGACTATGTCATCGTATGTCAGCGTGATACGCGTGAGGTGCGCATGACACGTATACTGCGTGGAGCTGAGTGTGGCACTGATTACAAATTGGTGAGGACCAAACTGTACATATATTTTCGTAAATCAATGTATTGCACTCCGGCCGTGAATCGGCGTAAATTTAACATTCTCTCCCTCGGTACTGTGGCGAAACGTACTGAGCTGGAGAAGGCGATGGCTGCACGCCTGTGTGATGTGGAATGCATAGCCACAGTGGGTGACCTGTGGCACCACATTCGCGACCAGGTGACAGCTGCTGCCGAGGAGGCAATCGGGCGCGCAAACTGTAAGCGGCTTAATTGGTTTGATGAGAACAATGCGCATTGGTGTGTGAAAAGAATGCAGCATTTGCTGCACATGTCGCAGATCCCAGTGACTTGGGGAAGAGAAGTCCGTTTCGCAAATTTCGACGGCGACTGACCCGAGAGCTCCGTCGCATTAAAAATGCACGGTGGACGGAGAAGGCGAAGCAGATGGAATGCTACGCCGAACGCCACCAACACAAGGAAGTATTTGACTCCTTGAAGGCGGTGTATGGACCGAGATTGGAGCCGCTGAGGACACTGATCGATGGTAGTTCAGGCGCTACCTGCACACAGACTACAGACATAATGCAGATCTGGCGGAAACACTTTGACTGTCTCTTGAACAACCGTTCAGAGATCGACTGGCCTACACTGAACGGTCTCCAGCCGCACGATGTGAAGGCGAATCTGGCGGATACGCTGACACTGGATGAGACGCAATGAGCACTTGCTCAGATGCGAAACGGCAAATGTGCCGGAGCCGACGGGATCCCACCGGAAGTATTGAAACACGGCGGACCCGCTTGTTGACTGCGCTTCACCACTTGGTGCAACGTGTATGTATTGATGAGGAGGTGCCTCCTGAGTTGAAGGATGCCCTTGTGCTGCCACTGTACAAAGGCAAAGGTAGCAAGCAATGTTGCACGAATTATCGTGGCATCAACTTGCTGAGTTGCGTGGGCAAAGTGATTGCCCGAATCCTGATCAACCGCCTCGTCAGTCAGGTTGTGGAACCTAACGTGGCAGAGGCGCAGTGTGGATTCCGTTCGGGGCGCAGCATTATAGATATCGTGTTTGCGGCTCATCAGTTGCAAGAGAAGTGCAGAGAACGACAACAGCCATTGTACTCGCTTTTTGTTGATTTCATCAAGGCATTTGATACGGTGAACCGCGAGGCATTGTGGCTGGTGTAGGGTAAGTTTGGTTGCCCGCGTAAGTTTGTAAGTTTAATTGAATGTCTGCACAGTGGAATGCGAGGGAGGGTGCAGCTGAGTGGAGACCTCGGATGACTTTGCAGTTGTCTCTGGTGTGAAGCAAGGCTGTGTCTTAGCTCCTGCCCTGTTTAATATATGTCTTCATGCAATGTTGTCTTGTGCTTTTGATGCGGCTTGTGCTTAAGGTGTTCGTGTGGAGCACCGTATTGATGGTGGGTTGCTGAACATCCGTCGTTTCGGTGCGAGAACTCTAGTCTGTGAGACAACTATCCGTATGTTGCTGTTTGCTGACGACTGTGCGTTGTTTTCACACAGCGCGGATGAGTTGCAGCACATGACTAGTGCTCTGGCTTCGACAGCGACAAAATTCGGGCTCACCATCAACACAAGCAAAACTGTCTGTCTCTTGCAGCCTTCACCGGAGGTGCAATCTTCAATATTGCCGCGAATCAGCATTGATGCTGAAGTATTGGAAACCACCTCCCGCTTCAGCTACCTTGGGAGTGTGATATCGACTGACCAGCAGCTACACGTTGAGCTGCGTATTCGCGTGTCGAAGGCAGCAGCGGCATTCGGGAAGCTTAAGTACTGAGTGTGGAACAACCGTCAGCTTAGCACTGGCACAAAGCTGATGGTGTACAAATCCAT